ATCATTCTGATCAATCTCGTTCGCCGGGGGGAGAATTTTGGGAACGATTATTAATTTATTAATCAATATTTATAGTATAAGCTCAATTTATAGGTCAAACAAAATTTATAGAGTAACCTAAAATTGTGAAGTAATTAATAATATATGGAAAATAAAATAAATCTTGACTTACATCGAGTTGACTGAAATATAGTTTGTTTCATTTTAGTTAAAACTAAATATTTTCAGATATTTACTTGGAGAAAAGCTATCTCCACAATGTATACCGGCAATTGTTCGTTACAAGCACAGTAATTGCGTCTTCAAAAAATAAAAGGGGATCTAGGAAATAAAAGTTATAGAGGCAGGGACGATCGTCATCAAAGATACAGAGCCATTCAAATTGCGCAACTCTTGTGGTGCGGCAAACCACACAGTTCAAGGGCCTCTTCTCGTCGTCTTTAAAAACTGCACAGTATCATTAAACCACGAAGTTTACGAAAACACCAATTTCATTTCTCAGGCACCTTTTAAAAGATTAAAAGACAATTTTTTTTGTAGAAAGTAAGACTTTTATTTGGAAATAAAGTTAGCTAAGATTAGAACCTTAACTTATCTATAAGAAGTTTGACTGAATCAATCAAGGAGAATCACCAAAACATACTAGAACTTAAACCCGTCACTGAATTAAAAGCATTTATGGCCGATGATATCTACATTAGGTCCATTTATAGACAAAGACCAAACATTAAGAGTAGGAGGTCGAATTGGTGCTTCGGATTTACAAGAGCACACTAAATTCCCAGTTCTTTTAAAGAAAAGTCACTTAGTAAATCTATTAGTAAGACAAGTCCATTCACAATATGGAAGTTAGAACAAGCACCATTACCCGAGCAAATTCCATTATCCGAAATCCTTCCCCATTCGAAATCCATGTTCCCCTCGCGGGTAGAGAACAAGAAACACAATTTTCCCCCTTCTACCTACCTTTCCCTTTATAAAAAATAAGTAAGAAGATAGGGAAAGAAAATAATAAGAGAAAAGAGAATAAAGAGTCAGTCTTATTTTAGAGTTCACATAATAAACACGTTTTATTATTGAAAGTCTTATAACTTGGACATTGTGGAGCGAAACAGTCAGAAAGAATAATTCAAGAAGAATTTTGGATACCAGCTCTTAAACCAATAATTAAAAAATATGTTCACACTTGTGTAATCTGTATCCGTTGGCGAGCTAATAACCTAAATCCGACGAAATAAATCAAATAAATAATAAATATCTAGTAAGCAATTAAATATTAAGCAAAATTGTATCATAAGCAAAATTAACGATTTGTAGAAAAATACCAGAATAAAAAGTTAGTCTAGTAAGAACTTTAGGCCAAGCAACATAAAAGCTTTTATTCATTGACATTATATCAATTACATTTATTTTTCAGTTCAAATTATATCGAAGAGTTTCAGGAGAAATTACTGTCTCCAGAGGCATCGAAATGACTTCTCTCTTGATAGGTTTGCCAGGTTTTGAGTTTAATTCAATTATTCAAATTTTACAGGGATTTTCTACACCAAATAAATAAGGGTGACTTTTAAACGGATTTTTTACACCCACTAAATAAAGGCGACAATTTTTATACCGAATTAAAAGGTATCGAATATTTTAAAAATGCTGAAATATTTAGAGTCCTGACTGAAGCAATGAAGAGTGTGAATTCGAGAAGCAAGTTATAAAGAGAGTGAAAAGATCAAGTGGATTGATAAGACACATATTTCATACCTTAAAAGTATTTTTTCTAGGCGACGTTGATACTGATGAATTAGCAAGAAAAGAAGATAAGGATTTCCATGATATCGGAAAAATTTTGCAACAATCAGCTTTTAATTCTCTCGATTCCAAACACAGAAACATCACACGACAGCATACAGTTCAAGATGAGTTGCAAACTCTTGCCGATGATCAAGCTGAAGAAACAATATGCTTCAAATGTTATCATATGTTCTAAGTTCATTTGTACTATTTTTCCGCATTGCAGATCATGCAAAGATCATATTTGAGGAAAACCCTCGTTGGAATATAACAGAAGAAGAGAATCAATACTTAAGGTTAGGCAAACAACTTGTTACTGATTATGAGCCTCTCACAAATCAGTTATTACTTCTGAGATATGTTACTGACTCGATCAGAAGTTATTGAAAGTGAGAAATCATCTAGCAGTACTCATCAATGAGAAAAACGATAGTTTCAATCTCACGTGCACAAACTAATCGTCAATTATTATCCACAACGAAGCTGCATTATTCAATTTTACGAATTGTATTATCATCGAAAAAAATACTTTGTTAAAAGCTGAAAATTTCATATTATCCACACATTCCATTTGAATTTACTGAAAAACAAAATATCAAATAACACAAATCAAGTTACGAAGCTAGACCATATTAATTCATCAAACGTGGACAATTTGACAAACGAATGGAAAAAAAACCTTATGATGTGGAGTTGAAATTGGAACGTTCGACAAAAATGATGACATATTAAACGATGATACAAGCGCGATATACAAAGTAGCAGTTGCAAATGAATATCCAAAGGAAATTTGATTCACTAAACCACCTTAGAAATTTTTGCTGACATCGCTAAACCCTTTTATTGTAACCTGAAATAAAGGTTTTTAATAAGAAACATAATATATAAATGTAAATCGACGAAAACTATAAGAAATGTAACTAGATACTTAGTGTAATAATACTAAACACTTTTTCCTA